ACAAAGTATTATTGGAAAATCTAATTGTCAGTATGGACCCTCATGAAGCAAGGGTATATTATATGGGCTTGTCATTAGATGGAGACGTGTAGGACATGGATTTGCAATGATTATTGTGCACACTACATTATGATGAGTGGTATGCACTAATGAAAAAATATGTCAGTCTAAAAGTTCTCTAATTGCCAGGTATGAAAGGTTAGCCTCCTCTTTTGGTTCGCTATCACCTCGGCCACCATATTGCACGAACTCATGTGGGCATTTGATGTGCCCCCAATGGTGTCCATAATCGAGAACTTGAGGGAAAGAATCATAAAGATCTGTCACTAGTGATGCTGGCATTATTAAAGTGGCGGGTACATATAATGTTTATGCACTAGTCACTTCATCATTCATCAGATCCATATGGAGATATTGATGATATTTTTTTGCAGCATCGTCTTTACATCTGGAGTTAGAGGCACGGTGCCGATCCATGAGTGATAGCAGCACCGACTTACTTGCCAAGATGTGTGGGCCCAAGGGCAGCAGCGAACCAAAGGGCTAAGCCAATGGGAACATTCACTTGAGGAAAGAGAATACAGAGGTTGAGGGTGCTGGTAGCATATGGGGGTGAGTCAAGCATAGATCTCAAATGTCAAAATTCAACCTTCACCTATTACAATCGTGGCATGTCAACTTCACTATCTATGCAAGTACACGGGGTGCAAGATGATCATTCATTGTTTCCTTTAGTTGGATTGCAGAATTGGGATAATGAAAACATAACATGGTAGGAAGACTAATTCGTATAGCTTCCCTTGATCTAGAGGGAAGTGTGAGCATTAAATGGAAAACAATATTGCTAAGGATGCAATGCATATAGGATCATCGAGATTTATCATTTGTTCTAGATTATATGCTTGAGATGAGGAGGAGCCCACCTTTTAGTGTCTAGACCCTCTTCTACAGGATATTCAATGCTATTATCTAAGGAGATAGTGTTCATGGAAAGATATGTACGTGATTACTTTCTCCTATTGGGTTTTCTCACAAATGGATTGTTAACATAATTATACCTTCCCACTCCAGAACCTTGTTTAATTGTAATAGTTGGTATAAAATCCCATTCATAAAATACAGAGATCATAAGGACCTTTAAAAGTTATTTGGACTTTCATTTAGGTCCCTTAGATAGGGCCCTGTGATAAATCTCAGTATCAATAATTTTACCTTTATTAAGTATGCTTATCTCACTTGAGTCATAGGCTACTTATTGCTTCAATGAATTTAAGTTGGAGGTTGAGAACCGGTCAGGGAGGAGAATTACGATCCTCAGAACTTACAAGGGCCGCGAGTACACAATTGAATTGCTGGGATGATTCTCTCATAATCATGGGATTCGTCAGTAGGAAACAATGTCATGTATTTTGTAGTAACATGATGCTGTAAGAGAAGGAATCGTACCCTATTGAAAATTTGATCGGGAGTGATATATGACAAAAAGATGATTTGTATATCACGTGTGAGCATTGTAGGCGGTCTTATGAATGCCATGTTGTGAATGTGACAGGAGTTGCCATAGTGCTTGTTAAGTCGCTACTAGAGCAATCTAAGTCCAGAAAATTGGCAGATTATGAATTGGACACTCCGATATCCCTAGAGAACTTAGAGTACTCATTTATCTTTCTAGAAATGATCCCCACTATGAGGATAGGGTAAACCTAATTCGATGGTGAACTGGATTATTGATGGTTGACATCAGATAATTCTCCACTCCAGGAGTAGGAGCGTTTTCTTGGTACAATAAGTTAGAAGATATGACTGAAATGTCTAATATAGAAACAAAGTATATAGATTAATGTATAGCATAACGGGTGAGCATACGACTCATGAGGAACCTGAAAAATGAGGGATTATAACGAGTCTTGGAGTGTATATGAGCGTGTTTTGGTGATAACACGATGCCACAAGCTTTTATAAAAAGATCCCAAGTATCACAATATGACATAACATGTAGATTTTTAGGTATCACTATTTGAGATATGTCATTAAGAGGAAAGAGATAGTGATGACATGTAGACCCCATGACTAAACTTATAGCTTGAGAGAAGTATGGGATCATGTCAAGAGATTGGGACTTCGAAGTCCCTACGTGGTTTTCCTTCACCATCATCAGTTTTTGACGCTTCCCAAACATGTATGTTGTTGATTGACCTTTACCATTTATTTTAGATATTACAGTATTATGGTTTGTTCATAGCATAAACGTTTTTTTTTATTGCAAATTCACACTAGTCACTAGGAGGCTTGTTCATTATTTGGTGCATTGTTAACAAGCTTCGTCTGCTCTCTCCCACAATGTTGACCACCTCAATGTCCGGGATTTTGGTGGATGAGACACACACTTCGATTAGTACCTAAAGAATAAATATACTCTAAAGATGCTCATCAACTACAGCGACATGAGGTTTTTATGTTGGATTTTCTTTTGCAAAATATTTTTGAAAAACTATTATAATGTAATATAATATTTTTTAAAATGAATTTCTTGGCTTGCATAAGAACGATGTTTTCATTGGATGTGTTGAGTAGGAGTACATGAATGGGGTTGAGTAGTCTCCTGAGCATAGAGTAGCTCATGAGGGATTAGTTGAGATACTCAATCCAGTGTGCCCAACTAAGTTGAGGGCAAGCTAGAGCATTCATTGAAAAAGAGAGAAGAGGTGTTCCATGTCTGCATGGTGGAAAATTAAAGTAGTTCTCTGTAGAGATGCATTCCTCCATGTAGTATGAGAGAGTTATTGCGTTGTGATGTATCATCAGATACTGATTATAGGATCAAATATATTTTTGTGCACATACGTTAGGACAAGTGGGAGATGTTGGATTTTGACTGTGTCCCTTATAGGTGCAGGGACGTCCATAAAAATTTAGATATTCTTAGTGGCTAATAGAGAATAAGGATGTCTATGGGATTATTAGACTTTTTAGTGGTTGAGTGAAAGGATATGGGAATCCCATGGGATATGGGATTTTCAACTAAGAACAAGTTCCAATTGAGGGAATATTATCCAAAAGTGATACAATAACTCCCTTTTGGATAAGATTCACTCATGGGATATTTAGTAGAGTTTTTATATGATGCACATGCCTCTTAAAAATTGGTTTTTTCTCTCTTCACAAAAAAGCTCATCTTTCTATCTTTCTCTCCTAGTTTTCTTGCTATAAAGCCTAGAATGAAGAACCCATAGGTAATCCAAGAGGTCTCGAATCTTCCATCAAAGACTTGTGATTCACGCTGTATATACTGCTACACTTCTTGTTCTAATAATCGGTAATCCGTGTAGGTATGCATTTATGAAACTCCCGAACTGAAAGAGACACGTGCAGGAAAGGTCATATCAGTTGTATGGGAAGAATTAGATTTAAAAACATTATGTGATTTTTATCCGATATGTTTGTTTTTTGTGTTTTCGCTACATACGAGATTCCCTCTGGAATCCTACAGATATGTCAAAGTTAGGCAGTAAGTGTCAAGACTCTACATGCGATTGCGGATTTTAGATGCCTCCGTGAGAACAAGTCATATCCATTTAAGGATATAAACACACACATAAGTGTAGGGGGTCTTCCATGACACTTGTACATGTTCTTGTTAGTGCGGCATCCGATATGCGGCTATCATATATATTTATCATAGGACCGCTTACCGATGATTTGGTCGTCGACCTCACAGGTCTCTACAGTCCACACATGGGTAGTTAAGTATATTAGTATCCTGGTCAATACCATCGAGAAAATTTCGAACTTCGATGAGAGAGAGCCTATAAAACTCTCAATAGTATATATTAGCATCCTGCTCAACACCAATGAGAAAATCTCCTAGCTCGACGAGAGATGACCCATAGAAATCTCAACAATACCACAAGATAAAATCCCACTGGCTACATTGGGATTTTGTAACTCTAGAATTGTAATGTCATTGATGTACTTGGTTCTAACCCATAAACCTCGGGTTGAATCATAAAAGTGTTGTATGGCAGTAAAAAGTCACAAGAATGGAAGACCAATAAACCAATCCAACAAAATGGACTTTGCTCTATATAGGGCACCACTAGATATGCAATATATGCAAATCTTGTATCCCCATATCAAGCTCCCCGCAAATCAAAATATCATAATGTATGTGGTCTTATAAAAAATAACGCCTTTGGAAGGCCACAAAATCCTAACAGATTGCAAGCACACTTCAAGGACATGCACTCTTGCAAATATAATGCGCAAGCACATAACTCTTTCCATTGGATCAATCTAGGGAAGAGTGAGTTCCCATATGCGAAGATTTTATGCACATACTGTGAGATGGCTTATGATTGAGGATATGGCTTATATCCTCGGAAACCATGGCCTTCTCACACAGGCTTACGTTAATCCTTAGTAATTACTATAGCAATACTCAAGCTGCAACAATTCTCTTAACACATTAATACCCAAAATATTTACAGCCAATAAAACAATCACGAGGTATACTCACATATCTTGACTAAGTACCTTCAACCCTTTCGGCTTAATGGCCCAAATGAAAGAAACTTTTTTCTAGGTTTGAAACTTGTAACAAGTGAGGTTATATTGGTAAAGCAACTTTAATGAGTCAAATTATCAAAATTTCCTTGCATGTTCAAGGTTGCAAACCCATATCAAAGTTCTTAAAGAGGTGCCTAATTTAAATATTTTTAAGAAATAATCTTTTTGATAATAAAGTTGTTGATTTAATGACCTCATTAGGACATTTGACCATCACAATTATATTTTCCTTAATATTAAGGAACATCAAAATTAAGAAACATGTTTTTAACATAGAAGCTTTTGTAAGATTTTTGTAAGGCAACAATATTTAATGCCAACTATTGGTCAAAAGAATTGAATAAGCGAAAATAAGCTATTAAAGCCAAAAATAGCCCAAGTTAGTACAAGATCTTATAACTTGAATTCTAATTGTATTTATCTGACACTTGCAGCTGTGATGACCTTTGAGGAAGACATTGCTGCTTTCACAATAAGGGCAGTTGATGATATCCGCACACTCAACCGCGTTGTCATCTGCAAACCACCCAAGAACGTCATTTCTCAGCTTGATTTGATCTCTTTGTGGGAGAAAAGATGTGGAAAGAGTCTAACGAGAAACTTTCTCTCAGAAGACCAAATAATTAAACTCACTGAGAGCATGTAAAGGAAGCCAGAAACCTCTATTACTGGTTTTTCACCAATTGTAGTATGCTCCAAATATGACTTTAAAAAACGGATCGGTAACCCAAATCGTGAATCCAGATTTTCGATCTATTTTGGTGGATTCTTGATCAGGTCTACCCAAGTGGTTATTAAAAATTTAAATTTTGAAAAGAATAAAAAAAAACAAGGACTGGCTCTGACCGGTTCTCTAACAATCAGAGATCCGGCCAGAACCAGACATGTCATATTGGCCAGTTCCCGATAGTTCGGGGGAACCAGTTTGTCCCTGACGATTCCCCATTTCAGTTGGCATTCTTAAAATATTGCATTAGGAATTTTTTGAGTGGACTAGTGGAGCCAATCTAGGTCACAAAGTGTGATGGTGGATCCACAAGTTCACATATAATTTTGGATGTGAAGATCAGCTGCATCATGTTTCAATTTTGACCTCTATCACCAATCCACTAACTATGCTTTTCATGATACGAAGTGCCATGCAACATTAGAAGCAAAAGGAAAGCATATGATACGGCATGCTTGGTGCTCTCTTCTAATATTAGTTCTAATATTGAGGTTCGGAAGTAACCATATTGATGGGGATTGACGCTGATGCAAAGAGAACGAGATTTGGTTCTGATAAGAAAGGGCTGCTTGTAAGGCCTAAATTTAGGGTCATGTAGTTAAGGAATCAAAGATTTGTTAGAGCTTCCAACCCTCACGCCCCTCTTCTTTTTTTTTTTTTTTGAAAAGTTTTATTTTGGGAAGAAAATCTTGGGATTGATTTTAGGAACTTTTTAGTTAAGGGTAGTTGGACTTTGACATAATTTACGGCGGGCATATCTTTGGGAACTCTTACTATTATCTTGGATCCCAAATAGTAAAAGGAAGTTGAGAGAGCGAGTTTCATTTTTCTTAATTTATATCGTTTTATGTTTTTAGGGAAAGGGAAGTGTATATATATGTACAGGGAGGGGGTTTGGTTTAGAAATGAGTTTTGTGCTTTATTTTTCTCTCTAGTGTAAAGAGATTTTCTTTCTTATGAAGAAAAAGTAAACAAACCCTCTTTTTTCATCTTTTATTTTTAATTTTGGGCATATATTCATCCTGCCTCATGTATAGTCATTGTTGTTTACATGGTGGTCAGTTGCGACATTTGCTAATTAGATTTTATTCATTTTTATTTATTCAGATTTATCCATTTTTATTTTTGTTCTTTTGTTTGCTATGGTTCACACAGGAAGAGTTGATATGGTGCAGCTCTTCCTCATCTTGAGAACGTGGCACCGGCTATCCTGCACTAGTTCTTTTGCAGGTCAGTCCAACTTGGAATTGGTAGAGGATGACTTGGAGCTGTCGCATCTTTTATCCAGACTACAACTGCACTCCCATTGCCGATCTCATTGACGTTCTTGCAGTTAACCCACTACAGATTAAAAAGACAGCCCTTGGATGATTGGAATTCCCACACACACTGGGACTCTTGTCGGCTTTTCTTTGGTCTTGTTTGATGACATTGCCCTGGTTTGTATCAAACATTTGAATATGCAACTTATTCCATCATGGCACTTTGCATAACTGGTCACTCCCTCGTGATTTTTTGTGTTGGTGTGTGTGAGAGAAAAGGGTCTTAAGAGTTTTATGAGGTTCTCCAGAGAAATAACAAAGGAAATATCTCAGCTCATCCCAAACCAACAACTAATGGCAAACAAATGAATAAATAGTGATGAATGAATAAATAGTGATGTTTTTGTTCAAAAAAAAATCCACCCTTAATATTTATTAAAATTAATTTAAGAAAATATTGGTTAAATTTCATTTTATGTATCTTAGAACCTGTCTCATATTCAACTGGTATTTTCTATCATCAATTGTTAGTCAAAAGGAACATACTTGACTAACGAGTCAAGACTCTAAAGGCATATGGAAGCCCTCATATGATGAGTCATGAATATACTATATCTTTCATATCTTCATATCATTTCAGGGGGGTTGGGCATCCTATCATGAGGGAGGGGCACTAATGGAATTGGACTTTTTGATGAAGGCCAGCTTGGGAATATAAAAAATAGTGATTTGTTGACCCCTCCAGTCAGTCAGACCAGAGGTAGGCCCCAGTCATATAGGCAGCTAGCAACACATTCAAGTCAGTCTACCAACACAGTCTTTTTAGGCAGCGACCCCCCAAGTCAATTCAGCCAGAGGCAAGCGATAGCGAAGGACTTCCTCAAATAAAGTCCGTTTTATATAGTTTTTGAAAAGAACAGCAACTCTTGTAATGCGCCTTGCGACGTAAAGAGCAAATCAAAACCACACGGAGAAGCCAATCACTAAGCAGAAGGTCACCAAGATAGGTGAAGGTTTGCAACCTGGCTTGACTTGAGCTTGTTATCTTGTCCTAATACACCTGCAGCGCGTCTCGTAAAGTCTTATTTCTATAAGAGTAGGATCTCATGTGTTGGCTTTGTTATGGGAAGATATTCCTCTTATCTCTTTTTAAGAGGTTATGGGATAGACTTCCAAATATGATTGTTATCCCCTTGAGTCCATGCAAATAGAAATAACATGAGAGCCTATTGTATTCTTAGTTGGTTTGACCAAAGCCCATCTATCGTAGGTCATTTTAGGCGTGCATCTCTCTTGGGCCGCCATTCTTTGGACGGACTCTTCTTGGGGTATAGAGATATAAGAAGCCTTTTAATGCAGAAAAGAAGAGAAAGAGAGGTAAAATTATCCTCCTCTTAAAGTAAAGTAGAGATAGAGTTATCATGCTCTGAAGAGAGAAGAAGAAGAGAGAGAAAGTTATCTCTCTTCTTAGAGATAAGAAGAAGATGAAAGAGAGTCAACAATCCTCTTCTTTAACGTTTTTTTTTGTTGAGAGAAAAAAGAGGGCGAAGGGAAGAAAAAGGAGAGAAAGAGAGAACATTTTTTTTTAGAGAGAGAAAACCTCTCTAGAAAGAAAAAAATTCTAAAAAATCAGAGAGGGGAAATCCTAAAGAGAGAAGTCTCTAGATGAAATTGGTGATCCCAAGAAAGGTTGTTTCTTAAATGACGATTGTAACCATTGAGTTAATAATAGTGGATTGTCTCTATCTTCCATAGGCGTAACCTGAAAAGGTGAACTACATAAATATGGTGCCAGTAAGATTTATTTTTTTATTTTCTTTATTGCATATTTTCCCTCTCATACACACACATTGGCTTTAGCATAATTGTGTTTTCCATATTTCCTGGTTCTGTAGTGTGGATCCGTATTCGTGCGAGATGGCTCTAACGTGGTGAGCCCAACAAGGGGTATCAGAGCCGGGTATCCCTCACCGCTTGGTTATCTCTATCATTATTTTACAATATAGTGAACCTCACGATTGTAGGATGAGTAAGGAAGAACACAAATCTCGCTCCTTTAATCTTTGTCACACTCCGGGCTTTGCCCTGACTTGACTTTCGATTAATTGGGCTTAGGGGATAAACAAACCCTCGGGCGACAGTAACGATCCGATAGCACAACAATCGGGGGACGACACAACGATTCGGCAAGAGTTCACAATCGGGGGGGTAGGTCAAGATCGAGTGGGAGTTCACGATTTTGGGGCAGTTCACATTGGGTTGCAGTTGACAATTGGTTGACAGTTCACGATCAGGGGGCAGCTCTAGATTGAGGGGTAGTTCATGATTGTGGGGCAGTTAACCAAAACGATCGGACTATAGCTAACTGTAATGCGCAGGGGATAGACACTGTGTAAGGATAGATGGATTCCAATACCGGGAGCAGAATGATATCGCTCAATGGGAATAACTGGATCATTTGGAAGCTAAAGATGGAAGATCTACTATACTGTTAGGAGTTGTACGCATCCATTGAAGGGGTAGAACACAAGCCTGAAACTATGACAGATAAAGAGTGAAAGAGGCTTGACTGAAAGGCTCTCAGAACTATCTGACAATGGTTGGAAGAAAATTTGTTCCACCATGTATTGATGGAGACATCCTCGAAGTCATTGCGGGTTAGGTTACATGACTTGTACGAAAGGAAGACCATCGAAAATAAGGCATTCTTGATCCGAAAGTTAGTGAACATGAAGTTCATGGACAGGGAATCCGTTGCAGAGCAGGTGAATGAGGTGTATAACATTTTTAACCAACTCACAACGATGAAATTATTCCTGGAAGATGAGCTACAGGCTCTGTTTTTGCTCGGTCACTGTCAGACAGTTGGGAGACTCTTGTAGTCTCTGTGAGCAACTCAACACCGGATGGGATAATGATCATGAGTCAGGTCACTAAAAGCCTGCTGAATGAGGAAGTGAGAAGCAAAGCCTCCAAAACATCGAACTCACAAGCTCTTGTCACAAATCGAGGAAAATCCAGAAATGGGGACCACAATCAATCGAAGATGAAAAAGGGGATTAAATGTTTTCATTGTGGCGAGGAAGGGCACATCAAGAAAGATTGTCTGAAGCTCAAGAATGAGTGATATGAGGACAATGCCATGGATGATGGCAGGCAAACCACTGCAGTGGCTATAGATGATGGTGTGGTCCGAAACTGTTGTGGAGGGTGCATTAATATCGCATCATGCAACTCGAATTGAGTTGTGAATACCGATGCATCGGATTTGTTTGGTGGCGCATCATATCTCGTCACCTTCATCGATGATACTTCATGAAAGGTATGAGTGAAATCGAAAGATCAGGTTCTTGAGATCTTTTAGGATTTCCATGCTAAGGTGAAAAGGGAGAGACATAAGTTGCCAAACTGTCTCAGAGTTAGGAGCATGTGATCCACCACAAAATTGTATTAGGGTGAAGCAGTCCTCACAACATGCTACCTAATATTGATCCCTTTGTTTCTTCTAGATGGTCAGATCCCAGAGAGAGGTTCGACCGAAAATGATATCTCTCATTCACACTTGATGGTGTTCGAGGCATTGGTGCACGTGTCAAGGATCAAAGATCCAAGTTGAATGAGAAAGCACTCCTATGAGTCTTCTAGGGGTACTCAAAT